GGCATCTCTCCTCAGAATAAGATCAATTTATTTGCATATCTTCCTCCTAACCCAGAGGATTTTTAAAAAAAAAAAACACGTTACTGATTTTCTTAACTTCAAAACGGGTGAATAGCTGGATGTTCCCATTGGGATTGAAATCTCCACAATTATAGTATTCAAATACTAGGACATTTTGGTGGTTAATGTGCTATTCAACCCTATTCATCCCCAGATAGATGAAGATTTAAGGTTATATTTTGCTACATCTAAAGCAGGGAAATTTCCACGGAACGATTTTAAAAAATGTATTTTTGACTGGCTCTGCCATCACAGTAAGTGACAAACCTAGTAAATGCTGATATGCAACACATCTCAGGCAAACAAAATAGAAGCAAACAATTCTGAAGAGACTGCTACTTGCTTTTGGTTTTGCTGCAAGACTTGGGAAGAAACCGAAAGGAGATTTAGTGTTAGCAGTGATAAGTGTTAAGCGCACTGAGATGCCGCCCAGCAAGGAGGGCGCTATATAAATAAATGCAAATTGTTGTTCTTGTTGTTATACACTGTGTTGTGGAGCAGAATAAATGCAATTAAAAGTTACAAAGGTGACAAAACCACCGGTTGGGTGGAACAGGCTGAAAGTCCACAGGGCTGTTTAAGCACTCGAGAACAGGGCAGTGCACAAAGTGTCAACAATCTGATCCACGGGCTTTGCTCGCGCCAGGGCTGAGGCCGAGGAGGCTGATCTACCACTGTGGTTTGAGGTGCAGAAATCTGGAAACTTGTTCTGACCTGATCAGTAGGAACACCCATTGATGAAGGATGTGCCACGTATCTAGCTGTTCTGTAAAGGACATAACAGTATGCTCTCCGCAGCCTGCAGCTACAGGCCTCCACTCAACATTCACTGAACACACGCTTCAGTTCGCCTTCAAAGGTAGCACTTTCTCCTCTCGGTCAGGTGCTTGTGGATTCAAGCTCCAGACTATGACGTGAGCTAAGCTATAATGTAAACTGACACCATACCCTGGTGTAGTGCTGAGGGAACACTGGTTTGCAGACAGTGCCATCCTTCAAGTGCTCATTTTTGACTGGTTACAGATTTCTGCCAAGTTATAATTCAGTTTTGTTTATATACCACCTTATGATAACACAACTTAACACAATGAGTTACTTTGAATTTTAGTGATTATTATGCAGGAAAATATGGCAGCTAACCTGCAACAGAAATGTCTCACAACATAAATCAGATGAATGGCCAAATTTAAATTGTTCTGTTTTGGATGAATAAGAACTCTGCAGGAACTCTCTTTGCAATAATATTCATAATAATGTGATCCTTAACACTTGCCCAAACACCATCTGAAAATCAGTACCTTCCAACAATTCAGTGCTTCTGCTTAACCTTCTCTTGTCCAGTGAGAACAACCCCAATTTATAAGCCTTTGTTTGTGACCCAGTTTACCAGTACAAAGAACTGGTAGGTTTCATGGCACTTGGCCAGCTAGGACTGTTATGTGGTCCAGTGCTGAGGCAGACAAATTGGGCACAGGTTCAATTCTAGTCCATGCTGAGTTCATTTCAACGGGCAGGTAGGTAGGGAGATAGTAGGTCGGAGAGGTAGGGGGGAGCAAGGCCGTGAATGGCCTTGTAGGTGAGGGTGAGGATCTAACCTGTAAATGATATTCAGGCTAGGTGCAAGAACATATGTGCATATGCAGAACATATTGAGCAGGGAGCACTTGGTGTTGACAATTTGAAGAGGGAACTAGAAAGGTATATAATGGTGGTGGAGATTAGGTGGAACTTGAGCGATAGAGAGCAATAGTATTATGGAAACAGACTGGGTAGAAAGACCATCATGCTCTCTTCTGGTTTTGTCTATTACTATATCAGGCTAAGGAAAAGAATATCCTTTAGATTTGTTCCTAATATCACTTTAAACTGAAAAAAAATCCATTTTTATAGGACTTCACAAGCAATTACTGTCAAGTGCAAGGGACTATTTTTGTATGCACCTAAGGTATTATGTCAGCAGACCTATTCATCCATGAGCTGAATGACCAGTTAATCTGGAGGAAGGTTAGGTAGGATACTAGAGAAATATCCTTCACTTCTCAATCCCGGATATGTCAAATTTGATGCCCTGCAACTCTGATTGGATGCTAATCTCAATTTGGAATGGTAATAAATTAGAAAGTACTTTTTTTGTGAACATTTCTTCAGACGTTCATTTTGCTTTGTTTAACTTCCTTATATTGCTGAAGAAGCCATTTTGTCAAGAAATGTGCGTCTACTAATAATAATAATCCTTGCATTTGATATCGCGCCCCCCCTTATCACATTGTTGAGACATCTCAAAGTGCTTCACGGAATATACTGTAAAGTGAATTAATTGTATATTTTGTGGATGAAACGCAGCGGCCATAACTGTGTAAAGTAATATCTGTGTATTATCTGAGTAAATATCTGTATCAAGTGCTTTGAGACGTCCACCTGACGTGAAAGGTGCTATATAAATGTAAGTTATATTGTATTGTCGGATCACCACAAACCTCAACTGAGAAACAACACAACATACGAGGAGAGAGAATGGGGCAAAGATTTCCAATAGGAAGGTAAAGGAATACAACAACAAATTACATTTGTATAGCGGCTTTCACATTGGGAAGATGTCCCAAGGCGCTGGACAGATAGGGATTTGGACCAGGAGGGGTGCAGGGCAGGGAGGGTAGGGGTAAGAGGGTGACTAAAGGTGTGGTCGAAGAGGAGTCTTGAGACATGCTTTGAAGGAGGCAAGAGAGGGAGCGAGGCAAAGGGACAGTGGGATGGAAACACAAAGAGTGGGAAATATAATACAAATTTACATTTATATAGCCAGGATGGCAGGGAGGCGAAGGAAGGGCAGAAATTAGCTGGGGTAGAATTCTACCTCAGGTGAAACTGAAACTTATGATTATGTAATATATAATTATATCAGAAGTGGTCAATAATGACTCTTTCCAGCGACTGGAAATGAAAGAGTGGATTGTGTTGGGGCAGAATTCTCGTGGATTAGATTGATGCACTTCTGTTTACTGGAAAGATACCTCATTTGCGTCTCAAGAGTTGCTGTTAACCACTTGCTACGATTGAACTGCAAGTTTTTTTTAAAATGGTATGGTGAAAGAGCAGGAAATTAGGATCATTGTGGTGGAGGAGTCAACACCAACACATGGTCAATAGTCCATCCAAATGGGCCATTTTCTATGCTGTAATTTCTACGATTCTATGTGGAAAGTTTTCTGTAATTTGCAGGTGAAATGCTTCCTTTCCAGCACATTAGAGACAGTGAAGTGACACAGAGACCTCAGGCTGGGCTGATGCTAATTCTCAACTTGGTCTCCAGAGATTCAATTGAGAGACTGAAAGGAAGTGTCTGACCTTCTTGCCAATGTAAACGGCAATCAAATGGAAAGTGCTGCCTTCCAGCAGAAGCATTTCCTGATCTATCCTCTTTATGTCTGCTCTGCTCCAATATAAATCACATGATCATTTTAATAGGTACCTGAACTTTCTCTCATGTCACATCAAACAATCAAATTTCCTCCATGTAAAAGCTGCCCCAGTTCAATGCAATGTTTTTACCTGTTACGGGGGTAAAAATTCCACCTGGGTTTAGATGTGCTCTATTTACGTAGCATTTTAGAGCATCCAGAATTTATCAAATTCTTAATTAGAGCCTTAATTTTGAAGCTGTTTTTCTGTATGTACTTTTAAGATCTACACTGTTCACAGTCTTTCACTCTTTGACACCAGAAACACTTTATAGTAAAACGAGACCAGAAAGTGATCTACCAGCACTACTCACAGAATGCCAGAATTATCTCAATCAGAGACCAGGAGAAATTTTCTCCCCTGGTTAATCCCTGGGGTGTTGAGTCTGACCCTCTGGAATTGTGCTCGAACATTGATCTCCGTTCCAAATGTAGCAATAACAATTGCCCTTGCATTTGATACAGCGTTCTTTTGATGACTCAAAGCGCTTCACAGGATATCCTGTAAAGTTTTTGTGGACGAATAGAGGATTAGCTCAACGGTTCAGCTCTGACCTGGTTTCAATTTCTGTCTGCTGATCCTATGTGTAATGAGCTAGTGAAGCCTCATTTGAAATTGCAAATGTGCAATGGTTGAAGTGAGAAAGTTTGGTGCTTGGTCTATTTTGAATAGTAAGTAGTGTTTGACTCTGGACCGTCTATCTGTTACGTTTTACACACCTACTGCAAGGCTCATAAATCTTTTCTGCGTTCTCTTTTCTGCTGCCCCCAGTATTGAAATTTTAAGAAAATATAATTAATCTATATATTTTAAACTGCTGTGATAGTTCATGAAATGCCCGGACCGAACACAAAGACCACTGTTACCACCATCTACCGTTAGAAGTTTTTAATTCAAAACAATTATTGCTGTAATAATAATAATCCTTGCATCTGATATAGCGCCTTATCATGTCTTTAAGATGTCTCAAACGCTTCACAGAATATACTGTATAGTGAATTGACTGTATATTTTGTGGGCGAAATGCGGCAGCCAATTGTGTACACAGTGCCCACAAACTGTCGTGGATTGAGTGACCAGATTTTAAAAGTTATTTTGAAGGAATTATTACCCCCAAAAAGTGATCTGCCAGTCGATTAACAACCAGGTTCCTACTTAATGCTAGGTAAACAGAGGCATGTGGAGTAAAGAAACTTGTCCAATGTTTCAACCTGCTGGGAATCAAACCCAGGTCCTCTTGCTTGTGAGGCGCGTGCTCTAACCACTAAGCTACAGGACTCCTGTTGCTGTAGTAATGCAGGTGATGCATGTCTAATGGATCTTGATACTGTGATGCAAAGCTGGTAGGGTTAGTAATACAGAAGGCAAGATAAATGGGCTGAAGAGCTTCTTTCACCTGAACTCTTCTTTGTGAACTTAGTGCTAGTTGCAGGAAGCAAAGGGGCCATTTTACAACATTAAAAGTTTATGAGACAACCCACCTTGTTAGGATGATAAGCACTGTCCACTCCCCAGGGACTCCTGTGTACAGATGGTGGCACTTGGTAGGTCTCATGACCTTGCATTGCATGTCCGGACGCGGTGGGAGGCACCTGATAAATGCTCTGATTCTGGTGAGAAGGTGGAACTTGATACACAGGATCCCGATAAGAGTCTCCAGAAGCCAGGGAGTCCAGTGCACTCGGGGGTACCTGGTAGATACCCTGTTGCAGCGACAGGTGTGCTGGAGCCAATTGGGTTGGTGGGGTAAGAGAGCCATCGTACAGTGGGCCCACGAGAAGCTTGAGGCGGTTTCCTGGTGCAATGCCCTGCCGTCCGTGCAACGAACAAAGCCACCAACCTTCCAAGCCCCCAGTGTTCTGTTCAATCACCATCAGAACTTCTCCTTTCCGGAAGGACAACTCTTCAGGGGATTCCGGTGCATTGTCGTATAAAGCTTTAGCCATGAGATTCTAAAGGAAGGAGCGAGAGAAAAAAAGAAAACTGGTCAGAAATCCCAACTGTACTTTTCAAAGAGTTTGGAATGATTCGTGAAACAGCTTTCTGAACATAACTGAGCACCGAATAAGTAAAAGTTGTTCAGTCCATGAAACCAATTCCCTTTACAGGTGATGCAAAGCCTTCCTTGTCAAGGCTGTCACCAGATACATTATTTTCTTTGGGAAAACCTCTGTATGGAGACTCCGAATCTCAAAGTCAATCAAAAACTCTGGCCTCCTTTCCTCCACAGACAAAAAGAAGTCCCTCCCCAAATCTCCTTGTGCCACATGAAGTATTTATTCATCTCACTCTATAATCTGTACCATTATTTTCTAATAGATACTTATCCAGTTCCTTTTTAAAGACGTTAAGCAATGCATCAATTGCTTTTCATAGAAGTCTGTTTCATACCTCAATTTCTTAATATCTGATAACCTCTAATCCTTGTTGAGTTCCCCCCTCCAATTTTAAACCTGTTGCCTTCCACTCTAATCCCATGCTCCAATTCAAATAGTAATGATTTGAAAGACCAACATCATAACTTCCCTCCCTCAATATTTTTTTCAGAAAAGAACGTCTTTTCTGAACATCACTTCATCGAGAAGTCTCAAAGTGCTTCACAGAATATGCTGTAAAGTGAATTAACTGTATATTTTGTGGGCGAAAAGTGGTAGCCAATTGCGCACGGCAGTGTTTCACAAACAGTCGTAGATTGAGTGACCAAATGATTATTTTTTTCTGAAGGGAGTATATCCCCTGGAAAGTGATCTGCCAATTGACTAACAACTAGGTTCTTACTTATTGCTAGCTAATTAGAGGCGTGTAGAGTAAGGAAACTTGCCTAAGAATTTGTCTTGTCTGGGAATCGAATTTAGGTCCTCTTACTTACAAGGCGAGTGCCTTAACCACTACTCTACAGGACTTCACTGTTGCATATTGTTTTAAGGCTAAATTGGCAATTGGACATTGACCAATGAGAAGCAAGCAAGACGCATAAAAGGATTCTGGTAAAGTGACTGGGCAGAGTTGAAGAGAACGATTGAAATAAAGGAACTATTGAATTTAAACAGTGTTGTGGATGGACATGGTGTCAGAAGTGAAAAGTGAAGTCCTGTAGCTCAGTGGTTAGAGCACTCGCTTTGCAAGCGAGACACCTGGATTCAATTCCAGGCAGGGCGAAACCTTGGGCAAGTTTCCTTACTCCATACACCTAATAATAATCCCTCCAAAAAACAGAAACAGTAATAAATTGGTCATTTTCAATCCACGATTGTTTGTAGGACACTGCTGTGTGCACTTGGCTGCCGCGTTTCGCCCACAATTATAGTCAATTCACTTTACAGCATATTCTGTGAAGCGCTTTCAGACATCTAGAAGACGTGAAAAGCGCTATATCAAATGCAAGGATTATTATTATATTATTATTATGAAGCAGACTACGAGATTGAATAGGGATTGTAAAGTAAAATGCAGACAGAAGCAGAATTGAATGCCGTACCAAGGTATGTGCAAGGAGAGACAGCTCGGATATAGAATCCAGAGAAAGTGAACAAGAGTGAACAACAACATTGAAACAGTGAAACTCATAAAGAGAATGGACACAAAAGAAAAAGGAAAAAAAATGAGTGGCGTAAAAAGGAAAGTCATTCAGTACAAATTAGATACAGGAACACATGGCATGAGAAGTATATATAAAATTGAGAGAACCAAATAAGGAAAAAATGGGGCAAGGTAAACTAATGGCATAGTACAAAGGAGAAATTTAAACAGAGCAGAGATAAAAGTGATAATGGGCCACAATTTGCGAGTGCTGAATATAAAAAAATTCACAAAACAGTGGGAAATAGACCACAGAACATTGTCACCAGGATATCCACGAAAGAATGGGATAGTGGAAAGAACAGTACAGACGATAAAGAAAATGTGGAAGAAAAGAAAAGGGAGTGTTCCCGGTGTCTTGGTGAATAATTACTCAAATAGATTGGTCATTCACTTCATTACTGTTTGTGGAACATTACTATCTGCAATTTGTCTGTTGCATTCGCATACAAAATACACTCATAACACTTCATAGTAAATTCCTGTGAAGTGCTTTGAGATGTTTGCACAACCTGGGCCTTCAGCCACTACATAACTCTCTCAAGACAACTCTTTTTGACTTGCACCCTCTTTCTCTGCCTTCAAAATGTTCTCTTTAACAGTGCCTTTGGTGAACACCCCCACTCATCCCCGCTCAGTCATCTCCATCAATTTTGTGAAGCACTTGGGAGACATTCTTCCACGTGAAAGACGCTTAAAAGTGCAAGCTGTTTTTGACGCAAGCCGAAAGAGCTTTAAGTCAGGCAAACAGAAACAATTTCACGGTGATCTTTCGAGATTGAAAACTGACAGAATAATTATACAAGAATCCAAGTGTTGCTGCTGACTGTGGCCACGTACTGATTATTAAAATAAAACATTCCCCTGCTTCAGTCAGTCCAAGGTGAATTGGGCCAAGAAATTTAAACTGTTACACCTGAACCATGATGAGAAGCATAAGAGCTTAAGAACCCATTTTATTTTTTAACAAACTGCCAAATTACATCAGAGCCCTTGAGAATTGAGAAATATTTTAGCTTCTTTTTGAAAAAAAGGCACAACCGAATTGCAATATTGATCTTGTAACTTAAGGCGGCAGTTTGAGACTTAATTATTTTGCCTTACACAATTCGTTCAACTGACTGCTTTCAACAGTTCTTATTTTAAATTCAGTTTAAGGAATCTAAATGGCTACATCTAAGAAAAGATATCTGCAGAGTGAATTAGCATGAGGTGCTAGCTCTGGTATATAAATTAAGCACAGAACATTATGAGCCATAGCCTGGGCCAATAGAAAAGTGTGGCAGTACTTCCCCACCCCTAGCGGAATCCTCCTCCGCTACAAACCTGCAATAAATGTAGTTTCAGGCCTGGGCGGCTGCTCCGGACATGCATGTGTGGTGTGGCACAAGCGGCAAATGGGCTTCACTTGGAGGCCTCGCTGTTGTGATTGTCTATGTGTCTCTGTGTTTGAGTGTGTGAGAGTGTGATTGTCTGTGTGTGTTTGTGTGAGAGTGTGATTGTCTGTGTGTGTCTGTGTGTGAGAGTGTGATTGTCTGTGTGTGTGAGAGTGTGATTGTCTGTGTGTGAGTGTGTGAGAGAGTGATGGTCTATGTGTGTTTGTGTGAGAGTGTGATTGTCTATGTGTGTCTGTGTGTGAGAGTGTGATTGTCTGTGTGTGAGTGTGTGAGAGAGTGTGATTGTCTGTGTGTGTCTGTGTGTGAGAGAGTGTGATTGTCTGTGTGTGAGTGTGTGAGAGAGTGATGGTCTATGTGTGTCTGTGTGTGAGTGTGTGATTGTCTGTGTGTGTCTGTGTGTGAGAGAGTGATTGTCTGTGTGTGTCTGTGTGTGAGAGAGTGATTGTCTGTGTGTGTCTGTGTGTGAGAGAGTGTGATGTCTATGTGTGTCTGTGTGTGAGTGTGTGATTGTCTATGTGTGTCTGTGTGTGAGAGTGTGATTGTCTGTGTGTGTCTGTGTGTGAGAGAGTGTGATTGTCTGTGTGTGAGTGTGTGAGAGAGTGATGGTCTATGTGTGTCTGTGTGTGAGTGTGTGATTGTCTATGTGTGTCTGTGTGTGAGAGAGTGTGATTGTCTATGTGTGTCTGTGTGTGAGAGTGTGATTGTCTGTGTGTGTCTGTGTGTGAGAGAGTGTGATTGTCTGTGTGTGAGTGTGTGAGAGAGTGTGATTGTCTGTGTGTGTCTGTGTGTGAGAGAGTGATTGTCTGTGTGTGTCTGTGTGTGAGTGTGTGATTGTCTGTGTGTGTCTGTGTGTGAGAGAGTGTGATTGTCTGTGTGTGTCTGTGTGTGAGAGTGTGATTGTCTGTGTGTGTCTGTGTGTGAGTGTGTGATTGTCTATGTGTGTCTGTGTGTGAGAGAGTGTGATTGTCTATGTGTGTCTGTGTGTGAGAGTGTGATTGTCTGTGTGTGTCTGTGTGTGAGAGAGTGTGATTGTCTGTGTGTGAGTGTGTGAGAGAGTGATGGTCTATGTGTGTCTGTGTGTGAGTGTGTGATTGTCTATGTGTGTCTGTGTGTGAGAGAGTGTGATTGTCTGTGTGTGTCTGTGTGTGAGAGAGTGATTGTCTGTGTGTGTCTGTGTGTGAGTGTGTGATTGTCTGTGTGTGTCTGTGTGTGAGAGAGTGTGATTGTCTATGTGTGTCTGTGTGTGAGAGTGTGATTGTCTGTGTGTGTCTGTGTGTGAGAGAGTGTGATTGTCTGTGTGTGAGTGTGTGTGAGAGTGTGATTGTCTGTGTGTGTCTGTGTGTGAGAGTGTGATTGTCTATGTGTGTCTGTGTGTGAGAGTGTGATTGTCTATGTGTGTCTGTGTGTGAGAGTGTGATTGTCTGTGTGTGTCTGTGTGTGAGAGAGTGTGATTGTCTATGTGTGTCTGTGTGTGAGAGTGTGATTGTCTGTGTGTGTCTGTGTGTGAGAGAGTGTGATTGTCTGTGTGTGAGTGTGTGAGAGAGTGATGGTCTATGTGTGTCTGTGTGTGAGTGTGTGATTGTCTATGTGTGTCTGTGTGTGAGAGAGTGTGATTGTCTGTGTGTGTCTGTGTGTGAGAGAGTGATTGTCTGTGTGTGTCTGTGTGTGAGTGTGTGATTGTCTGTGTGTGTCTGTGTGTGAGAGAGTGTGATTGTCTGTGTGTGTCTGTGTGTGAGTGTGTGATTGTCTATGTGTGTCTGTGTGTGAGAGAGTGTGATTGTCTATGTGTGTCGGTGTGTGAGAGTGTGTGATTGTCTTATGTGTCTTTGTGTGTGAGTGATTGTCTATGTATATGTCTCTTTATATCTGTGGAGTCCTGTAGCTCACAGTGATTAGAGCACTTGCAGTGCAAGCGAGACACCTGGGTTCAATTCCAGGCGGGGCGAAACCTTGGGAAAGTTTCCTTACTCCAAACG